GTAGCCATGAAAGTGCATCGGAGGACCTATTTCATTTACAGGTTCTGTCTAGCTCATGCTTAGCCTTGTTTAGATCCTCCTTAAGGATTCTTATCTGCTCATCTCTTTTGTACAACTCATCTTTCATTTTTCCTACATTTTCTTCTAAAGTGAGTCGTGTGTGATCAGCTTTCTTTGTACCAGCTCCTAATTTCAATTTTAGATTTTCAGATCTAAGCTCTAAGATAGTGGTGTCAAGTTCATGAACCTGGTTCTTTAACTCAGCATTTTTACTTTCACTTTCACTAGCCCTAAGTTCCAGATTTTTGCACTTAGCTTTCAAAATCACACACTCCTTAGACAGCTGTTCCTTTTCATTATTTAGATCCTCAGATTCATCAATGAAATCCAGGAGTAACTCAGATAGCCTTTCTTTAGACAAAAATTTAATCGTCTTTGAGATGAATTATACTTACCTCAGATTCCTCATCGGATTCTCCAATTGCCATAAGTGCTTGTTTATCTCCATCTTCACCCTCTGAGTCCTCATCTGAGCTTTCTCCCCAGGCAGCAACCATAGCCTTTGTTGATCCTTTGTTCTTCTTGGGTTAAACCTGTTCCTTCTTCCTGTTCCTTCGTTCAAATCTTTCCTTCTTCCATTCAATTTCCCATTGAGGGCAGTTTTTGATGTGGTGATCAGTCTTCCCATACTTGTAACGCCCCTCATTGGTTTGTTTTTCAGGAACCCTTGGTTTGTTGTAGCTTCCACTTTTTGAAGGCCCCTTTTCTTTCATTAGATACTTCTTAAAGTCTTTTGTGATCATGGTCATTTCATCCTCCTCTAGATCAACACCTTCAGTGATTCTGAATGCCATGCTCCTTTCCTTTTTGTGTGCATCCATATTCATGGTTTGCCTTCTAAGTTCATAGGCAATGAGATTTCCAATTAGCTCATCCAACTTAAGAGTATCAATATTCTTTGATTCCTGAATAGCAGTGATTTTGCTTTCCCAAGTAACAGGCAAAACCCTTGTCAGAATTTTCTCAACCTTGTCTTCTTCAATAATAACCCTTCCAAGAGACTTAAGTTCATTTGTTAGTGTGGTGAACCTTGTATACATCTCCTAGATGGTTTCTCCTTCCTTCATGGTGAAATTCTCATATTGAGAATACAACAGTGTTCCTCTGGACCTCTTCACTTGAGGTGTTCCTTCATGAGCCACTTGCAATGTGTCCCAAATTTCCTTAGCAGTGGTACAATTTTGAATTCTACTATACTCGTCTGGACCAAGTCCACACACAAGCCATTTCTTCGCTTTAGCATTCTTTTCTCATTTCCTCAAGTCCTCAGCATTACAGTCAGCTCTTGTTTTTGGCACATCTACTCCTTTAGCATTCTTCTTCATGGTAGCCAAGGGACCATCAGTGACAATGTCCCATAGCTGATAGTCTTCTCCGATGATGTAATCTCTCATCCTATTTTCCACCAAGAGTAGTAGTGGTCATTAAAGAGTGGAGGCCTATCAGTGGATTGCCCTTCCCAGTTTCCAGGTGGTGCGCTTATCTTGATCTATTCCTAAGGTGTTAGCCTCTTCAAGGATAAGCTGCTCTGATACCAATTGATGTTTTAAGCGTCAATACCACACAAGAGGGGGGGATGATTTGTGTGGTACCCAATTTTCGCTTAACCGAACTATAGAAGAACCTGGTTTTTCTAGGTGTTCCAACTACTACTATTTGCGGAATAATAAATACAAAAAATAAAGAACACAAGTATTTTTAGGTGAAAAAATCACGACCTACTACTCAATAGGATTTTCCCCAACACTTCACTAAATCACTGAGCCAAAACAGCATTTACAAAATTCTTTGTAAACCTAAGGATTACCTCTAATCCTGTTGTAGCAACCGGCCTCTAACTGTTGTGACAACTTCAAGTTAATTCTAACTTGAATACTCAAAGTACCTATTACAATTGCTTCTAGATAAAGCTGAAAAGTACAATATGAAAACACCTACTACACTTGAACTAGAAATAAAGAAAGACACATAAAACTCTTTATGGAGGTGGTTCTTCAATCTGGTTCATGTAGCTTCAGGTTTGCACACTTGAATCACACACGAACTGCTTGCAAAAAGCCTTGATATTTTGCTCCCAATTCACATTTAACTTCTGTGTTTTTGTGCAATACTTGTAATGTGAGAACATCTTGCAATTTATAGAGTTAGTAGATGAAGAAATAACTAGAGTTCTGATGCAACTCTTCCTTGGTGGAAGAGTTCTAGTTGATTTCAACTTCTAACTCCTTCTATATCTTGGATAGTGTTCTCTTTGATTAAGGAGTCCTTCTCCTTATCAATTATGCAACCTTTTCGATCAGGAGATATTAAATACACCAAGTTAAGCTTATCTCCTTCACGTGCAACCCACATGCTCGAATCTGCCCGTTTTTGTGCACCTGAGGGATGGACCTGGTTCATCCCGAGTTCCTTTGTCAGTCTTCAAAACTAACCTTTACTTGGGCCAACAACTACTATAGAGTAATTGACCATAGGGAATTTTACATACCTGAGTTCAAGAATTAGTGATTTGTAAGGAACCCTAGATTGTCCAATGCTTGCATGAGTTTCTCTCTGTTTCGTGAGTTTCCCTCTGTTTCGTTTCTCTCTGTTTTTGTCTAAGCTTCTAATCCAACTCTTTTGTTAAGGCCTTAAGCCTTTTTGGTTCCATAAGCCCTTTTATGGGCTTTAGGCCCCTTTCTCCCTTTTTTTTAATTTAACTAATAATTAATGATACTCACTTTTAATAATTAATAATATTAAAATTATTAGTATTTTTCTAATTGTATATCCAATTATTTAAGTGTGTGTGTGTGTGTGTGTGTATTCACTATATAGGCAAGAAAAATAATAATAATAATAATAATAATAATAATAAAAATAATAATAATAATAATAATAATAATAATAATAATAATAATAATAATAATAATATAATTCTATAATTAGCGTGTCTCGAAACTTTTATAAATTTGAGGAGTGTTACACGTTAAGTAACCACCTAGATTGAATTCACGATCCTAGATCTTTTATAAACTTGAAAAACAACAATACCAAAAAAAATATTGTCTCTTAGATTTTCTATTGCAAGCATTAGCATACAAACTAGAGTAGAAAAGAAACAACTGAATAAGTGGAAGTGCAATCTTGGGCACGTCATAAACTAGCCTAGATATATAACTAATCCCACATAAAGTTCTCTGTGGAATCGATCCCGACTCGCATTGGATATTTATAATTGCATGGACCGCCGCACAATCCCAATTAGTGGTGTGAGTTTGGGCGACATCAGTCCACACAAAGAAAAGGTCATTAAAGAAACTTATTCAAGTTAACCATAGTTACTTAAGTAATTGAGCTCCATAGCACTTCAAATAAAGTATGGCCATTTGAAGAAAAAAAAAAGATTTGTTTATATCCAACGACACTTCTCTGACCAAATTAATTATGATCAAAATTCTATAGGCCATATCCAAATGCCTCCAAAAAAAGAATGTAAAAGTAGTATTGTGTCGTGTATTACAACAAAGAGAGTTTCGTGAATTCATGGAACCTACATATGTCTTTTAATATGCTCACGACACTGTCATCATTAAATTGATATGTAGAAAACTTCTACTACATGACATACTTTGCTTATAAAAGGATATCATTCTCACAAAGCTATTTTCTATAGAACAACTATACTTGTCAAAACAACTATACTTTTCTTGTTTTCCTTTTTAGTCGGCGATCTCAGGATAGCATTTAACATCAATTTGTTTGTTTTCAAAAGTAAAACTCGATTGGGTTATCCAGTTTGCAGCGCACAAAAAAATATCAACGCCTACACCAAACAAAGATTATCTGTAACGAAGTATATATCATGGTGGCAGCAACTAGGAGTATATAACGTAGGCTCTTATACCATTGTAAATTAAAATTCAGTAAGAACAAGAATTAGAATCATGTACCTGTTATGCAGCGAAGTAAAATCACAACCCAGAAAATTTGCCCCTAAGTCGAAATTTGATTCTCTTGAAAAAAATTAGTTTCACAACTAAATGTCTTTCTTTATGTGCGTTTTGCAAAAGGAAGAAGAGAAATCTTCTCTGTTAAGGAAGAAGAAGATTGATGAGAAAGGTAGAGCAAATCCTTTCTTTCTGTTCGTTCATGCCCCAATTAATAGGAAGACCAAAATAAGTTATTATAGAGAAAGAATTAACTACTATGGGAATAACTGCTCTCAACTACACCCAAACGTGTAGTAACTTCTCCAAAGAAGTTATTTTAGTCCCAAATTTTATCTCTTCCCAAATGGGTTGGGTCAACCCATATAGAACGACCCGGTATCTGAATTTAATACCCAACAACTTGAATTAATAATAAAGGTGTAATTCCTTCTTTAAAATGCTAATTAGATTTGCTTCTTGATGTATGAGATGTAATTTTTATACAATAACATACCTAATGAGATCCGACAGTATGGTCTGGGAAAGATATGTAATTTTTATATTTGCAAATAAAAAATACCTAATAAATTGCCCAAATAAACTAAAAAAGATGAACCAAACAAACGTTCTGATCAAACTCTATATTAGTTATTACAAGGTACATTAAAGGAAATTGTGGCACCTGCCACCTTCAAATCTTAAATCCGCCTCTACTCAAGCAACATCATACTGGTTTAGAATTCGATTCTACGGGCTAACCCCTCC